TAATTGACTTCATTATCCAAGTGTACAACAATGAGATGCAAATTGCTTTATTCACACAATTATTTATAACAAAAAAATGTCCATGTGCTCTGTCAAAGCTATTTGTAGACTTTGCTAGAGAATTCTATCCCAACATTGCAAAACTAGAGCTTGAGTTTTCTCCAACAATGGGAGAACCATGTAGGATGGAAAGAAGCTAATTGAGGGATTAAATGAAGATTCATTGTTGCTTTGTTGTATTTATGGGCTTGATTTAGGATATTTAAATTATTTAGGTTATATTTTATGAATTAATACTTTGTTTGTTTTTCAAGTATTAGAGCTTAAGGTTTATACTTGGTATTTTGCATTTATATTAGGATTTAGGATCTTAGCTCTTATTTTCCTTATCCTACTTAATTTTATTTTAATATAAGTTTATTAGTTTTCTATTTGGAGTCTAAGTGTTTTTTTAAGTCCTCATTGAACTACAAGTTACTTGTAGGACTAGGGATGCTCACTCTGCATAAATATCAATATACTCTTTATTGGAAGATATAGAATTATTATCAGAGATATTCCAGCATTATTGCTCTTGTGATGAGTGATGCCATCAACCTTAGGGGTGATTCCAAAAACACTAGGCATGTAGCGTAGGATAATTCTCTCTTTTCATATCTTTATTCAATTTCCTCTGTTTTGCTCAAGAACATCCATCAAAAACTTTCTATAAACCACCTAATCAGCTAGCTATCCTACATCAAAATATAAACTAAATTAAGCCTAAGTGATTCAACCATAACGCTAGTTCCTACGATACCAGAAATACCCTAATTTCCAAGCTAGCAAGCATTCCAACATCATTTGGAATCAAAGCAAAAGATCCTACATATTTTTCATCACTTATAACCATCCCTTACTCTACCTTTTCTTTTTCTATACCACAGTAATGAATCTCACACTTTCCTCAAAGTTTGAAACTTTGACAGAGAATTCTGAAACTTTTTCTGAAGATTGTGAAGCTGTCAAGAAGGATGTTTAATGGTTGAAAGGTGAAGTCCACACGTTAAACTATTGATGTGGTAATTGTAGAAACTTCCCCAGATAAGGTAAACGGACTTGAGGAGCTGTCCAATGCTTTGGCAAGAAACAAATAGAGGCAACCACTAATAAAGAGAAAATGACATTTGATTCAACTTTAGGGCAAACTCCAGAACCAGTCCAACAGTTACCCTGAAGTTCTACACTTGCTACTTCAGGTTTTCCCAAACCCTCCATGTTCAAACACAAATGCAGAAGCCCTATTCATATCTTCAACCAATGAATACAATGATGCAAAACAGTAGGTAGAATCTCAAACTTATTCTCCTAAGTTCAGAATTCTAAAACAACCTAAATTGGGTGATGCGAACAAACAACTTAAGCTGGAAGTTTCTGACTTCTATGAGTACAGCAATATAGAAGTGTTTCCTGATTCAGTGCATGGTGTAGAAAGCCCTTTTGGATCATATAACTTTAAGTTATGAGAGAAAGCTTATTTTGTAGAATCAAGGCTAAAGGGAAATCTTGATGGCACAAGTACCAACGAACACATCATGTTGCTCTTTGAACACAAGAAGACAGGAAGATTGCCATAAATTGCTAGTTTGTGCCATCTAATTACAAGCAACAACTTACTTGTAGTTCATGCAGTTGGCACAAGGAAGCGTGATTATGGAAGAGTATACTAGCAAGTTATATAGCTTGGTCACAAGATATGAGTTTACTAATATGATGATGTGATGATCTCTACGTTTTGGTGAGAGTTGAATCCACAGGTCTCTTCGAGATCAACAACGAGTATACTTCACATCATAATGGGTGATACAATACAAGTTGCTTAAAACTTGAAAAGATAAAACAAGGAAAGTTTTATGCAAACTCCAACTGAGAACTCAAGATGAAAAGAATGCTGCCAATAAAATTTAGCGAAAGGCAATTAAGAGTTGACCTAATGGTTTATTACCATCAAATAATCATATTACTCACTTTCAACACCAATGAAGTTCCAAGGTAGCATGTTTATCCAAGAACAAGAGTAAGGTTTGGTGTAACTTTTGAAGTAGTTTTGGGCATTTTTCATATCATTGTCACAATAGAGTAATTTTTTTGGAAGGAATAATGTGTTTTTCATGACTAATAGCAAAGGCAGAAGCAAGTTCTAATGTTTTCCTTTTTATTTTCCTTTAGAGAAGAAAAAAATGACAGCTGAAATCTAAAAGAAGAGTGTGTTGATTAAGGGATGGTAAAGAGAGGTCTGTTTACTCTTGCATCCTTGCTTCGTATGAGGAGACACAATGATGAAGAAAAGAAAAATCAGAAAATAGAATCTTTCAAATTAATATGAGGTGCCATGGTCAAGTTTGCAGTTTAGCTATTGCTGGTAGCAATTGCTAAATCATTATTCTGGAGGATGCCATCCATCTTAAAAAATACACCATATCCTAATCAATATAAGGGCGCATGGGAGAATAACAATACTATAAAAGTTAACGTTAGCATCTTCTTTGGAAGTTTTTTGATAAATGCAATGTGATGAGCTTCCTATGAAGTTTTCTATTATCTTATTGTGGCGACTGTTATATAATAAGGTGAAACATTATGGCAACAACCACACTTACTCCTTCAAGCACGGTGGCTTGATTATTGAGTTTACAATTACCAAAGACACTAAGCCAATAAAACTCCAAAGAAGCGTGGGTTCTTCCCTTCTAAAGTGGAATAGTAAGGAAGATGGCATCTACGGGACAGCTTCTAACCAACGGAGGCAAGATTTATTTAGAGGGGGAGAATTGATAGAATACCAATAACTTGGTTAGATAAATTTCATACTCCACAGGTGCCAAGGGCTAATATCATGAGTTCTCCATCAACAAAGAAGTGCTTTTGGTAGTTGGAGTTATTTAGGCAATTTTTTGTAATGGTACAGATTTAGTCATGTTCATCGGGTCTTATTTTGGGTTTAGATAAATTTCGGATCTTTTATGTGGTATTTAGTTTATATATAATGAGTCTTTGTCCTAATTCTAATGGTTTTAGGACTGCAAGTCCGTGTAGGACAAGTTAATTAGCATTTTCCCATTTGTTCTCTTTGTATTGCTAGACTTCGTAGAGTTGATTTCTAATAAAGATATTAGAAATTTGAGAATTCTTGGACAAATTTGTGATTGAGTGATTGGAAATTTCCTCTCTTCTAACTCTTATTTTCACAAATTTAAAACGGTAACCTCAACATACCCTATTCTAATTCTAGAAAAGCCAACGCTCTTTTGCCACAAAATTTCAAATAAACTTAGCTCTAATTCCAAGAGCCTAAACCTAATTCCTACATTAAACCCTAAGGAGAAGTAAGGCAAAAGGCCCTCTAAACTCACTCAAAAATATGCACAAATTTCTACGTATCTTCTTCTTGCATGAATCTGTTTTAAGATTTTTGGCATTGTGAGAAGCTTGGGAAGTTGAAAGAGAAGTAACATGGTATAAGAGATAAATAAGGCTCCATGTGGTTGTTCCTTTTATCACTGGCTGCTTGCTTCAAGCAGCAAAAAGCAAATTTAGACACAAAAAGTTAATGATACTTTCGACAAATTTAGAGTGAAATTGAAATTCTTTTAGAACAAAATGCATGATTTTAATTTAGTATAGAGTAATTATACTAGCACTGATGTCGGGGTTTAGCCATTTGTGCATTTTCAATCAGTTACGATTTTTCTTTACACTATTTGCTTTCACTATTTGTCATTTGTTTTCTATTCTTTTTTTTTTTTTTAATATTTGCTTTCAATTCATTTTTCTGCCAAAAAAGAAGAAAGAAAAACAAATAGCAAGTAGCAAGTACCCGAAACAAAAGCTAAGTAATTGGCATTCAAAGTGACAATCAGCATGTGGTACCTAAAAGTTTGCATCACGGAGAAAAACATTCGGCTTCCAATGAATTTAATCCATTAATTCAAATAATGCAGTAGTAATGCTGGGACTATAAGTAAAGTAAATATAATTTTGTAAACAATATGACAGCAATTTACGGGTTTTGAACCAACCTGATGTAAATGGTGAGCTAATTCCCAACAGAGAAACAGAGAAAAGCTGACAGCATAAGAGATTACATGTTGAGCAAACAAGTTTCCCAGCTCGAGTTCAGTGTTAAAATGGTGTGGCAGAAATACCAACAGCAGAGCTGAAAATAGATAAGCCGCAGCAGAAAGCTTTAATGCTCGTGCGATAGCGGAAGGGATCCCCATCTTGAAGCTAAAGAAAGGGGAACGCTGTTGACAGGAGCAAGCGACTCAAATCAGTTAAAAAAATTGAAAAGAGATTTAAAAGAAAGAAAGAGCAACACTAGCATTTGACCTGAATAATGGGAAAATGCAATACCCATCTCCGCTTATATATATAAAAGAAGGCATAGAACAACCCGGAAGCAAAGCCCTTAAACCCCACTCTCCCAGCCACCCCACAAAGGGACACTGCCGAAACATAACCCGACACGGCCGCGGCTCCCAGCAGAACCGGCAAACTGCGTCTAAATTTACGCTCGGGAGATGAGACGGCCGAGACGGAGACAGAGAAGAGCAGCTGGGAGAGATGAAAGCTCAAAAAGGAGATGAAGATCGCAGCGGGGGAGCGCCAAGAGACGATCACTGCCGTGAAAACCAAGAAAATTAAACTACTTGGAATGGACTGCCATATTAGGAACTCTACCAACCGATTCTTCACTACCATGCCTGACTCCGCGGAATGCATACTGTTTTCTCTTTTCTGATTCTGCCTTCCTTTCCAAGGGTTTTACTTTTGGGTTGCGCCTGTTGTCTTTACCACTGTTTAGACCGCCGAAAGCTGCTTGTAACCTTATGTCTTAAGCGGCATTTTGCTTTGGGCAATGCCTGTGTTTCGAATTGGGCTAATAATATGGAAAATGTGTACACTTTATTTCGAAAAAGTTAATTCTGTACGCTTTAGGGAATTTTTTTTTTTTTAACAAATAAGTTTATATATATAAAATAGTGAACTCTTTCAATTTTAGGTAGTTCATACACGTATTGTCGCAGGTAACTATTTTTATGCATATTATGAAATTAATTTGATGAAGTATTTTATTAAATTTGCTTGTACAAAATAAATAGTAGTGTTTATGTCTGTGATTAAAGTTAACTAAATGGATTGATAAAATAGTAAAATGAGGAGGATTATGTTAAGACATCTATTGTTAGGTTACTTACTAAAGACATGTGAAATAGATAGTTACTAAATAGTGTTCATGCGTATTAATATTAACCATTTGTCAATGGATGTTTTACAGTACCATTGACTTAGTTGTTTTTGTTCATAGAAACCTGCAAATAGATGTTCCATACAAATAGACATATAAACAAGTTCCTGTGCAGTTGTAACTGTTCAAAAGCTGCACACAAAGTATAGGTTAAGTGTTCCAGGACAAAAGATATTGATTGCTGGATTATCCATTAATTTTTACCATAGTAGGTTCAATATAGAGAAGCTACAGAAAATGATGCGTCAATTATGGTAAAAATCAATATTTCCTATTTCAAAAAAGCTTCTTTTCTGTACTTTACCTTGTTGCTTTCCTGTTGGTTTTCCTATTAAGATAGAATCATCAAGCATGATTAGTTTGTGGTTTACTATTTTGTTAGAGATGCAATAAAGAGCACGTTTATATTTATAGTTTACCTACTAAATTTTGATTTTTTTTTTTTTGCCTGGACACTCTTCAAGACTTGTGTGATTGTTGGTAATCGTGGTACTTTCATTTGGGGTTGTGTCATAGTAAGTGATGATGTTTAAATGGGTGGCAGTTCTTGGCTTGTTGAACTTGAGGCTGCTTCAAATCTTGAACTTTCAAGCAAGGCTTGTTTGATAGTGTTACAGTCAAAAATCTTGCACACTATCAGATTTTGGTCGATGGCTTTTCTTATAAAACCATCTCTGTGTGTTGATCAGGACCTTGACAGGAGATGGAAAAACCATCTAGTTGATCAATTTGATTGCAGCTAGTTTTTGTCATAGTAGCACTAATCAATTTTTCGGCTTGTTGACCGAAAACAAGCATTTGAATCTTTCCAGTCTTATCTTGGATTGTGACTTTAAAATCATTCTGTAAGCATTGTGAAGAATAATCATTACTTTGGTTATGTGTCATACAATTGTTGTTTCTGAAATCTAATAAAGTGCGTTTTAATTTGCTTACATCAGAACTGGTGTTTTTTCATTGTGTGTTGGACAATAAAATTTCTCGGCACAGTACTGTAAGCCTGCTGCACATTGGTTGCAGGCATTGTAGTACCATCCCTTGATGCTTCCATATTCACAATTGTTGCAATAACTTCAAACTTGCTATTCTGTAAAAGTTGAGTGTGCAAGAATAGATATGTGATAAGGACTTTTAATCATTGTGCATTATAATTTTGTAATTAATATTTGTTATAACTATTATGGTTGGATGGAGGGAAGATTCTACCATAATTTTTTTTTTGGTTCCATTGTTAGCAAGTCTGCAACAAGGACCTTTGATGTTCTCCTTAGTTTACAAAGCTGCAGCCTTTTAGTTTCAATTGGTTGGAACTGTGGTCAGATTGGCTGTTGTTTATACCTGCCAATTCTTTTTTGTTGGAAAACATTATACTGTTTGAAAGATAATGGTTAATTGTAAGCTATGATAGTAGAGATTCTATTAAGGTTTCCTTGTCTTGATTTCATTAACTTTTGGTATGTCAAGATTGATGTACATCCTTGTTGCTAGACAGGATGATGCATACAATGATCCTAAGAAAATTTTATGGTAAAGTTTTTATGTAATTTCTACATGAAGTTATGAGTCTAATTACTAAATGCTTTTTATGCATTGTACGTATGCATGTAGCTTTAATCATTTGACCAAAAAAGATAAACACAACATTTGTGCTTTAGTGGAGCAATTCCTCCTCTTATATGTTCAATGTTATATCTCTATACAATATGACCTTCAAGATGTTGTAACTGTTCAAAGATATAAAATATGTAAGTATATTATATAAATAGGTAGGCAATATAGTTGATAAATGTAATTGTCCTTTTATTTTGTTGATTTACCTCTTGTTTTGAATGTAGATATCTTGTTTATATACAAGGAGGTCTTTGTTATTCAACTATACTGTTGTTACAGGGGTCATGGTTGTTTGCATTCTAATTACATCTACAACATATTAATGGAAGCAAGATTGTTAAACAAATCAAAAGTTAACTTAAATGATAGAATCGTATAAAGAAAACATTTATTTCCAATACCTGTTAACACTTTCTTCTAATGTATCCTGTCATGGAGGGAACTATACTCTATAAAGTTGAAGTGATAGTTAGGGTATCTAGTAACATCATAATGGATTTCTATGACTGTTGTTAACATTGAAAATACTACCACTATATCTCGAAGGACATTAAAATTGTTCTTAGTTTTCATCACTCGAAATTTGTTAAGCAAATAAACAGAACTTTCTTTCAATATAGGTGCAAACTGTGGTGCATCTAATCCTCTTTATCATTGCTTGGATTACATTTTTCTACAGTAAACAAAAATAATATATTTTTATCCTCAAATCAATTTCAAATTTTCTAAATATGTATACCAAAGTAAAAGTAAAATTTATTGTATAAATTGCCTTCACATCTGCAAGCAAAAGATCATGGCTGAAAAAGTTTTTAAGATTGTCTAGTGTCATTGATTGCCAAAGCCTTAATATCTTCACATGTATTGTATTTGCTGGCTTAAACAATTGCAGTTCATTTAGATGTTCATGAGTCATTTGTACCTGAAGACAGACATTTGTTCAAATTAATTTTATCATATTATAAATAATCTTGAAGTATTGGATTTGTAGTACTCATTGTTATTTATATTTGTAGACATGATGGTCTCAAATTGTAGAATATAGGTAGCAGTTCGAAGTAAGAACATTTTATGGCATTATTTGTTAGTAGAAACACATACAGTCTATATTAAGAATGTTTACAAATACAAACAAAAAGCACATTAGGTTTGAAACAATTTTGTTTAAACTAAAGATTATAAGAGATCATAAACAACACCAATGAGAGTACTTGCAAAAAAGAGTCATTCTGCAATAGCTAAAGTTGTACAAAGTAGATAAAAGGTTTGTAAATGCACACAATTATATTAAGCAGTGGAGGAGATTACTGTAACCTGGTTATAAATTATCAAATATTTCTTTGTGGACTATATTTTTTGGTTTCATTTTACTATTCTTTGTCTTCATTCAAGATTAGAATCCTCAACCTTTGCCGAGACATAACTCTTGATAAAGCCATATAAAATTGACCATGAGTAAATACAAATTGACGATATCAAGAGTTTGTCCTTAACTTTTGATTATTGTCATACTATAGCATAATTTCACTTGGATTTATTTTCTTTGAAAAACAAAAGGCCATTTTCGTTGTTTGATTGTCGTGACTATCCTTGGAGTAAAAAGTATACTATTTGCAAAAACTCTTGATATTATCTTTCCTTTATAACATTAGTAGCTAATTGAGTAACCAAAACTCTAGTTCCATTATATAATCTAGAGCTTTTGTTTATATTCCTTAATAGCATAATTACTATATTTACCTATAGATCTAATCGGTGGTCAAGAATACTAGGAAAACTAAAGTGAGTTTAAAAATTCTACTAGATATAAGAGTTTGTATTTTGTAGAATAGTTTAAAGCTTTTGATATCTGATCGACGCTATAATAAGACTTCAATGGACTTGTAATAAGACCAAGGAGATATGAGTTTATTGAATCCACAATCTCATTATAAGGACTTAAAATTGATCTTTGTTTTAAATAATCTAAGTCTACAAAATTCTATTGTAGATTATCTTACACAGTCGAAATGATAGTTTCTATTGGGTTTTCACTAAATGGAACCAACAAATCTTGAGGTATTTGTATCCAACGGGGCTCCTCCTCAAGTTCAAAGCTAGTAGCTGTAATTTTACCTTCCTTTATATTTAGTAACCATTGAGCAAAAGTTGAAATTTCAAACCTAGTTTGTTCATTAATACAAGATCAAAAAAGCCTGATGCTCATTATCAATTGATAGATATGGTAATGCTTGCATAAGAATAACTAATTTATACCCCATTCAATATTTTTGATTTTGTGGCACCCTCTACAACAGGTAAAATTTGCCTAAAATCACCACCAAACAGTATTGTTTTCCCACCAAAAACCTTTTTTGTATTTTTAGAATGATGCTTAATAAATACGTTTGCTTTATTCTTATTTTGACATGACAAAATTGATTGAACTTAATGAGTTTTAAAAATGAAATAAACTTTTAAGTATGAAGAAAATCCTCAAAAAATTGTTAAAGTTAAACTTAATAAAAAAATATATTGAAATGCTTTAATTGTTTGAACATATTTTTAATATGGATGATCATGCTTTTAATTTTCTCAAAAGTTTCATGTTTTCAAAATTAAATATGCCAACGCAAGGATCAAATTTTCAAAAGAAATGACTTGATTTTTAAATGAAAAGGAAGCAAAATATATTTCTTTAACTACAGAAAGAATCGATTTTGGAGAAAAAAAAGTCAGTTCTTGGGCAAAGATCAACAATGAAGAATCGATTCTAAGAAAAGAAGAAGTCAATTTTTAAAAAGATAGAAGCTACAAACCTTGTGAAGAGCCGTCACCTAAAAAACAAAGAATTGATTTTGGAGAAACAAAAGGCAGAAAGAAAAAGGTAAGGAAGAAAGAAAAAGGTAAGGAAGAAAGAATCGATTCTACAATGAGAAGAAGTCAATTCTTGAAGTATCAAAAGAACCTGGTGACCAAGAAAGGCATGGTTCAATTGGACAAAAATGGAGTGGCAAAATT